TGTGAAACTGTCTCCACGAGTGCCATTTCGGACAGCAAAGACCTGAGAAGCGTTTTCTGTTCCCTCCAGCAAAGGATCAAGCTAATACCACTGTGATAACAGTCAAGCGCAGCAGTCATTAATCTGGATAAAGTGATTTTTCACATTAATTGCCTTCTTTCTCCTTAAAGTTTCAGAGCCAAGAAGAAAATACATCACCAAAACAAATGGCTGCTGGGACAAACGAGCAGTCTGAAGTGCAGAGCAGAGCAAGCAGGGCTAAGGCAAGGACGTTCGCATGGAAACTGAGCACAGAGCCGCTTAGGAAGATCCTGAAGCAAAACCAAGCGCAGCTATTAGGCTGCCACTCTGCACATCCTCTCTGTAGGTTCAAAACACAGCAGCCTACCACTCCGCTTTCCATATATATCCTGGAAGCAACTTGGGCTCACACAAGCTAACTTCACTTCATGCAAATGGGCTTCAATTATGCGGGTTATTTTTAAGTCGCTCATATATTCGAGCTTGGGCGTAAAATACCTGTCTGTTCAGAAGCCCCGAAGCCTCTGCATTCATCTAGGACTGTAGGTGCAACATTTCTCTCTCTAATGGGAATATAAATGCTTATTTGTGATCAAGAGCAGTATCTGAATTCAAATTAAACTTCGGGTACAAAAATACCTCCAGAACTGCATCTCTTGACTTGCTTTGCTTCTCTCTCAGAGCAAACATTTCAAAACTAAGCACCCTGACCCACCCCGGTGGATCACACGCTCCCTGGCTCAGGCTGACTAGGCCAGGTTTTCAACCCTCTGCATTCACCCGAGAGCTTAAAAAAAATTAAAAACAGGTGCTCGTAGGCTTTCATCAGCTTCTCTACTGCCCGTGGAGTGCACCTGTGAGATTGCTCAGCCAGCAAAAGGCAGGGTGGTGCCGTTGGGTTAGCAGGGGCGTTGCGAAGGGACCCGTGCAGTGCCCAAACCCGAGTGGCTTCGGCTTTCGGCAGCAGCACCACGAGCAGGAGACACAGCCCTAGCCCCAGCAGGCAGGTGTTGTGCTCTGCGGTGGTGCTGGCAGTGCAGGGGGTGGCCAGGGGAACCACAGCAGTAGTGAGAGGGCTGGGTGATAAGAAGGGTGCAGGGCAAGGCCAGAGGCAGGCTGAGGAGGCAGCAGGTGGGGGTGTAAGAGTTAACAGCCACTGGGGCAGTGGGGAGGATGAGGAAAGCACCAAGAGATGGAAGTAGCAGCAGTGAGGCTTGCTTGACACCGTCGAGGACTGGTGGCATAAAACACAGAGCCCTGGCCTGGGACTTGGAGGATGGGGAATTTTATTCTTAGCTCTGCCGTACACATGGTGGATGACCTTGGTTAGGACATGCCTATTTTTTGTGTCTCACCTCCTGTTTCTGTGACTAGCCCGTTTTTAAAGTGTTCTGAGGTCAAAAGACAAGAAGCAGTATTTAGGTAGGAAGAGTTGTTACGATCTACGTGCTGAGAAGCAAGGCAGGAGCGGAGGGAAGTGCCTCTCTGTTGTGTAAGAGACACCACGTCTCCCTGTCTGCAGAGCACAGTGCCCTTACAGGAAGTCCTCTTCTTTTGTACTTTAAAGCAGAGCTTTATTATGGAAAAATGATTAAGCACCCACACCGTTAAAATGACAGAGCATCTTCATTACTGATTGGCAACTCCTCTGCTGCCCTAACTTAGGTACATCTTCTTGCATTGAAATCAGTAAAAACAAAACAAAAGCTAAACTCATTTATCATTTGCAGAAAAAAAAAATGTCATAACATGAAATATCTCCCAATTCTTGGCCCTGCTTCTGAATATTTTTCTTTTAAAATGCAAAAATACAGTTTTATAGAACATCTTCACATACACTTAAAGGATGATGATGATCAGAGATTGCTGTAGTCATACAGACTGCGTTGCATATGAATAACAAGGTGGTCCACAGACAAAACAGTCTGGAAACACAGGAGAAAGATTAAAATTAATTCAAAGGCTTGCCAGCAAAGGAATTTAACTTAGGCTTGTTCGTTCTGTAAAGAATGAACAGTCTGAGAATGAACTGAAATCTGGCATGTCACAAAATAAAAATGCCTGAGGAAGTTTAGCAAAATAAATGTCACCTGAGTTTTTTCATCTCCATGGCCAGCTTTTATTCAGGAAGAATTACTTCGTTGCTCTTGCTTCCAATCAAGCTGAAAAATGTTTTCTCCCAGCACTCTGCCAACGTGTGCTTCCTCACTCTCCCACAACACAGCACACAGTTCATCCAGGTCATGATTCAAACACGCAGAGACCATTTAATTGCTTAGTATTTGCAGTTCCATATCCTCTTTCCAGGCTGCAGAGAGGCATTACTGAGTAAAAACTGCCTCTGCTTTAAGAACTGCTGAATGTGGAGACAACTGATGGGTCAATCTGTGAATGAAATGTGCAAACAACTGGAAATGTCCCTTACTTCAAGATCTGACTCTAAATGGGTTACAAAACAACAGCGGCAGCTTTACACATGCAGTTTCTCCAGCTTGAGAAGTGCATATGGAAAACACACCTCCCTTTACAGTTACTTTTTTGGGCCACTTCAAGTCAAGACTATTCAATCATCACTGTATCCCAGAACAAGACGTCAGCATTTATCAGGAATTAAGAACAACACAAAAGCTATTAGAAAAAGAGCAAGGGATGTACTTCCTCATATTTTTTTTTTTCAAATAAAATAAGATGTTGGTATGTCAAGAGTTCAAGTCTCCAATTATTTTTTTGTGCAAGCTACAGCTTTCAACAAAATGGTTTAAGTCTGTTTTCTACTGAACACATTTTTAAGTGCAATCAAAGACGCCTGAGATGATCATTTACCAGAAAGCCTCCACTTCTAGCCTTTGGGAAGCAAGTCTGATATTTTTGTCTTAAGTATTTCTTCCCTTTTCCGACTTTTCAGCTGCTCTTAACTATAAGCTGGTAGTGAATACCACTAGCACAACTCCAAAACTGGGTAAAAAATCTGAAGTTTTTTGTTGTTGTGTTTTTTTTTTTGTTTGTTTGTTTGTTTTAAGAAAATATCTAGTTAAAAGAAAATGCATAAGGCTTGCCATATGCCATAATAAATATACACATTGCTGAGAGAACTGAGAGGACTTTTCGGTGAAAACATGACCACAATTGTAGTGACAAAGATCTGCCAGCACCTTGATTTCTGATGAGGGAGAAGGAAGTGCAAGTCTCAAAATGACTTACATCTTGCATAAGTCAAGCAAAGGGCTGACTCAGAGTTCAAAGAATGTAATGGAAAAGTAGAAAGGATTTGATTAAATGCTGGACTAGGTCACAGGGTTGAGCTACAGATTTCTGAGACTGGAAGGTGAGAACAGAGATGTTGCTGTTCCAGCTGAAAAGAACTGAAAATTTCAAGATGTGCTATGAATGAGAAAGGAAACCCAGTGCAGGTCAATAATTCATGTTATTAATGAACAATTGGAGAGGGAGAACAACAGCACCTTGTCCCTCACTCCCCTCGCGTGGTACCAGAGGAACGCAATGCTGCTGTCCCCGTGTGATTATTCAGTCTTCAGGGCCTGTGTTTTTAATCTGCCTACCCCTTCCACGCTCCTTCCCTGTTTCAGCTGACTACATCAGGCTTTGTGCTCCACTCATTTGAATGTCTTTCCACGGTCACCTTTCTCCTGTACACTCAAACTTACCTCCTTGGTCTGTTTTCCATCCCCATCTTTCAGTCTTCTGACTCAGCTACACAAACGCAGGGTCCAGAATTCCAAGCAGTAAAGCATCAACTCCGTCATGGAGCTACACCAAGTCAAATATCAGAAGTGACTCACAAGTGGCCTAAACCAATCCTTCTGACGTGTGGCAAACGGACCCCACACTCAGTAAGACTGTGAAGTAGGTATGTTTGTGCACCCCAACGCGGCAACTTACCTTGGTTATATGCAGTAAAGAGTTACATACGTATGGAGTTTCCCAATGCGCCTCTAGAGATGCATGACCTATCCCCACTTCATCTTACAATCAGTTCCAAGAAGTCATTGCCATGTCTCCTGGTGGTGGTCACCAGGGTTGTGGGGATGAAGGCTGATAACTCTTCTTCATCAGCACTAGTTGACCTCCTGCCTTGTCCAAAGGCTCTTGTCCAAACCACAGGGTCGGTCTCAGCCGGTTCTTGAGACAGGTTCTCTGTTTTTGTCAGGAACCATCCTTTGTGAGGGGCCCCAGGACTTCTTGTTTTAAGACTTTTAAGACTTATTTTGCACACAAGTAAGGAAAGACATTGAGCAACATCTATTTTTAATACAATAATCTAGGTATTCATTAGTCAGCATCCTGTCTACTACGATTCTCTTAACTCCCTCTCTCACTTCAGGAAAGAAAAACTTCTGTAAAAGAACACTTTCCTGCTCCCAGCATTCTTTAAAATGGCCCACAAGCGTCTTGGTGGTTCTAGGAGTAACAACTGCACATCTCCTGTGACTTCAAACAAGAGATGTATATACAACTGCTTTCTTCTCCCCCACAGCCTGAAAGCTCAGTGGTCTGAGTGTTAACAGTCTAACTTGTTGTCCAGCAAAGCTCCCATACTAAATCCGCCTTCCCTCCTTGTCCCCCCAAGCATGTCGGCTCATTGGCAGGTTTGCCTATTTTCAGAAAACGGAAGGGGAGGCAGGAATAGCTGCACAGAGACTTGCTCACCTTGTTCTATGTTACATATACGTTACAAACCTTGTCAGTTTATTTGCTTCGGAATGCATCTGGCTTACGTAAAAAGGCTTCCTTTGTTCAGAAGCGATGACACGCATATCCAAGTTGGTCTTTGCAGTGCAGAAGCATTAGCATAGCATGCTGGCTCTGCATTTTGCCTTGCAGAGACTGACCTTCTCCATCAGGACACCTACAAGCAACACTTACTAAGCTCCGTACACCAGCAACGCAGAGGGTTTCTTCGCTTGACTGAGAGCTTTTCACTGTGTGCTCCCTTCCTCAGAGCAGAAAGCCTCCGTTCATTTTGTACAACATTTTATTCTGTAAACAAAGCATACTGACATACAGAACAGGGCATTCATTTCCGAGTGAATGAGCAACAACTCGGTGTGGTTTTTGCTGTCGTTGTGGTGGTGGTTTTGTTTTTACATTCAACCATGTACCACCTACAATGAATTATTATTCACTCTTCATGCTACAGCAGCATCTAGAGGTCCTGACCGACTGTAAAGCATGTAGTAATTCAAGCTCTCAAGACAAGTTATTACTTCCCGATGTTTTCAATCTATATAGGCAAGACAAAGAAGGGGGGGGGAAAAGAAAGCAGTCCCCCCCCCCCCCCCTTTCAAACGATGAAGAATACAGGCAATATGAAACTCAAGAACAGGACCAGAAACAAACCAAAGGACTCTCATTCTTTAAAACCCCAAATCATTCTTCACATTTCCAAAGGCATGTTTATCTTACAGATGTGAAAAAGTGACCAACAATTCAAATAAAGTAGTGACATTTATTTGTTATATAATTTGCTGGATTCCTCTGAATGGAACTGCAGCGACAGCATACACAACCAAAGCACTCTCAACACCATAACCCCAGGTCCTATGGGTCACATACCAGCTGTCATTAATCAAGGAGCAAAATCGTTCAGAGGGTATGACTACTGAAACGAGATAATATTTACCAGTACACAGATCTCAGGAAAACAGAAATAGAACCCTCAGATAAAACAGCAAAAAAGGACTGACAAAAAGGCAGGAGAAAGTGGTCAGTGCATGTAACAGAGAGGATGCTGTATGCAGAAAATAGTATTGAGGAGTCAGCAAACAGCAGCTTAGTCAGATAAGTAAAACATGTCAGAGGTAGCCTGGAACAGTATATTACCATGAAGAACCACAACCAACACAGATCAAAAAAAAAAAACCAACAGAAGACTCAATTTCACACCTTTTGCAGAAGGCCCGTTCTACTATCCTTACAGTTTCTTCCAGTATCTGTAATGCTTTTATAAGCAGCTTCATACTACAAATTTATTCTCCATTGAATAGAAAAAGAAAACACATCTGAAAATTATCTATGAACTACAGTTGCTGCCAACCAAGGAGAGAAAGCCACACAGCTCATACTCTGACCTTAATTCCCTCCCCCTTATGAGTTAACTGTTATATCATTAGAAAGTTTTCCTGTCCTATTTTCTAACAGCCCTTTAATGGCATCCACCGTACGTGTGAAAAACGGTTTTATAAATAGCTTCAAAGGCAGTTAATGATATCAGAAGGCAATTTGCACTTCTCCATTTTTGCCACCAAAATCAGTGCTGGACCTATGTTCTCTACCAAGCACTCACCTGGAACTATTCCTGTGGGCATGCTCTGATCAGTAACTCAGCTGGGCTGCCAAGCAGATGCGAGAACCAACCCGACACTGCTGTCTTATAAGCTGGAGAACTTGTAAAAACTTTGTTTTTAGATTGCAGTCTTCCTATTCAAATGCAGCTGGAAACACTGTGAGCTATCTTGGATCAAACTGTCCTCAACAGCTACAACTGACTTATGCTCTTCAACAAGAACTCTCCTGTTGTTTCCAAGAGCTCTTAGAAAATTTTCTTCCCTAGCAGTAGCTTCAGAAACTTTAGGTTTGCTTTGCAATTCAATAATAATTCATGTGGATCTGCATCCCTGCAAACTTATAATAAATTGATGTCTGGGACAGACGATAATTCCTCAGAAACACTGCTCCTTTCACAGTTTAATCAACTGCAGCTTGTTTCAGAAGGGCCTCATTTTCTCCTTTTTGCCAGCCTACTTTCTAAATTATCTTTTTCTTTCTCTCTCTTTTTTTTTCTTTTTTTTAAATTCTGATCTTCTGTTTAAAATGTGTGTATGCATCTACTTATGTTCACTGGCACTCCTCTGTGATGCAAACTGGATTTTCTAAGATGCCAGGATCTCAACTCCAGCAGATGCTGGCAGGTGCAACATATGCTCATTGTAACAAGCAGATAAAATAATATCCTCAGGCTGGATTTTTACACTAATAATAAGTGATTAGACAGTCAGCTTTCTCCTCGCAGACTTCTCAAAAGAACAAGAATTCATTCTTTCTTCAATTATATTGCATCAAGACAAAATGTTTGTCACTCTACCTGCAGATAAGAAAGTCAGTACATGCGTAAAGAACCCATGAAATAATTTAAAAAATAATTGTTCATTTTTTTCTAATACTCTTCTATATGCATACTCGTTCTTTTTAGTTTCAGAACAAACTTTGGCACTTTCCAGCTGCTGTGTTGATCACAGGCAATCTTCCCGCAGCAACACTGAGCTCTGCAATACAAAGATGTCCATCCACATCCACGATGCTCATTTCTGGTGTGCTGAGTCTAATGTGAAGTTTGACAAAGAGCCATGGAGTGTCCTGCCCCACATCCAATTAAGATCTGTTTTGCAAAACCGAGAGCTTTGACTGGCTTTGGGACCTGGACGTTTGCTTCTGTGCCATCTCCACACATCCCGTGTTCGTTCCATCCCCAGGAGAAACAAGTGTCACCTGAAAGAGAGGATGCACAACACTGAATAAAGGCAGCAAACACAACAGCGTCAACTAGTTTGGGAAGCAGATTGGTCAAGTCATATTCTAATGTGGTTCTAATAAATCCTGCTAAGGGGGGAAAAACATTCAGGTTCTCTTGAAAACTTAAAAAAACAGAATGAGCTATTGCCTACCTTGTTTCATATCATTAACAACGTAAGAGAGATTAAAATAATAAAGACATCTGAAAATTGCTCAGCAAATATCTTGTTCTGTGCCCATAGGAAGGTCTCTTTTAAAGGCACTTTAAACCTTTCCCGAAATGATGTGGGATCCTCATCTTTCAGGTTCACCTCAGTAAGCAAAACTTAGCAGCACGAACTGAGCCTAGTGCCATTGTAATCAGTTCATGCAGCACAGTCTGGAGGACTGGGAAACACACAAAGCTGCCAGGCTGCCAAACAAAGCTCATTCCTGCTTTCAAAGAAGTAGGAATGAAGTCCTAATTTTTCTCCTTTAAATACAGATCTCCAGCATGCCTTACTCTTAATCATCACACCTCTTCTGCTTGCTTCGGCATTATTTCACTGCTTTTATTACCCTTATTTTCCTTCACTGTCACTTATTTTTGTAAAATCTACTTTTACATCCCAAATCATGATCCGTGCGTTATTATTACCCTACAGTACTCTTTCTTAAAGCAGAATATGTAAATCCTGTTCTATAAATTGCCGGCATAAGAAGAGATACATAACGCCCCCTCCCCCCCTTATTCTGAACAAGAGATATTTCTTCCCTATTTTCCTGTCTTTATTTGGCTGTCGCAGCCTGCGCCTGTGAATTCCTGTAATGAAAAAGAAAGCCACCCTGCAACAGCATCGTGTTTCCGATGCCACTGTTATTTTTGAAACGCAGCAGGTATTAAACAGCATGAAGCACCACTCCAGAGTACAAACAACGAGAAGAAAAAAGGCAACATTCACCATTGCAACCCCAATCATAATTCTAATTCAGAAACCGATTATTCCAAAGATAGCAGGATCATCTCTCTCTCCTGCAAACTCAGTACATTTCATTCTCATCTGCTTTCTTTATATATTACTATGTTAAAGTTCTCTTCTTCTATAATTAGGTGTAAATGTTACTAAAACGAGCTTTTGTGTGGTTTAACCCGGCAGACAGCGAAGCATCACACAGCCCTTCAGCTCGCTCCTGCCCAGTTGGATAGGGAGAGAATCAAGACAAAGAGGTGAAGCTGATGTGTTGAGATAAAAACAAATCCACAGGACAGGAAAGGAAGGGAAAATAATAATAAGGGTGATACTATATACAAGCAAGGGCTGCGCAATGCACTTGCCCCTGGCCAAGCCCACTGTTACAGCTTCCTTTTTTTTTTCTTTTTTTTTTTTTTAGTAAGGCTCCAGGTAAGAATATTTTTGTCCTCTTTAACAAGCAAGAAAAAGGTATCACAAACCAAGAGACTCAAGACGCATCGTGGAACAATTATTCAGGGAAAAATTCAACCACAAAAAAACACCTGCACCTAAGAAAAGGCATTCTTTTGCACAGTTATTAATATGTTAATTTGTGGATCCTGCAGTGTAAGCCTACTTCAAAGGGAAAAACCTCCAAGTTTAATGAAAAGGAAATATAACATGCTCTTATGTTAATGAGATGACAATGGAAAGCTTTTTGTGGCCAAGCACTTAGCAATTAGTGCAATGACCAAACGCAATGAGCTGATGTGTTTGTATGGGGATTCACTACATCTGACTGAAGGATTTATTTATTTTCATCCTAGCCCACTAGGACAAGAGAGAGGAAATGAGAAAGATTTTGTTCACCTTGAATCACAAACTGCTCAATGACGTATTAACGCCTCTCCAAGTAATAAGTAGACCTAGTCAAACATCTTTTGAAAAAAACTCAGCAAAATTCACAAGCTAGGAAACCCGCATACAAGAATACCTGCCCTAAAATAAGCACCAAGCCTTTTCCAGCCCACAGTTCTCCAAGCACATAAAAATTTTTGTACGTGGCTCCAGTGAGCTTCATGTTTACTGAAACGGGCCGAGGGAAAGCAGACAAAAACCTACACATACAGAGTACCTTGGGTTCACAAATAGCCTTAAGCAAAAGGCCACATGCATACGGAGTGCAAGGCAGAAATCTGGAGGTCTGACGGGAGCTGACCGACGCAGAACAGCGGGTCCCAGTGATGATCCTCAGCAACAAGTCCTATGTCTAGAAAGCTAAAAGGCAGAGAGTTACTGTGGCCAGAATAGGTGTGCAATACCACACCTGCCTGCAGTACATTTTGAGCAAGGTTTGGGCACAAAAAGGGCAGGTGCTTGATTTCTGTCAGAGAAAAGAGAACTGGCGGAAAAGACGCAGAGTCTGGTTTTTGTACCGGCATCACTGGGACTTGCAGGAGGGCTGGCAGGGAGTGGGAAAAATGAGTTAAGGAAAGGTGAGTTCAGGGAAGGCCTTCATTAAGGAACAGCCTGCAGTGAGACTAAACAGGCTTTTCCCCTGAACAAGAAATACACACAAAGTGGGAGCAGAAAAGCCCTTAATTTGCCAGTTTGGGTCACAAAACCAATAAAGGGTTACTGCCTTCCCTCTGGGCACAGGCATTACCTGGGCTTTTCTCAGGGTAACTACAGTGACAGCCGCAATCCATGACTTGATCAAACTGGAGAAAATACTTCTGGTACAGTAAAGCTGCTACATATTGGAGAGAGGAGGGGGTTCTGGGGAAGCAGGGGTCTTGCAGTTGCTCCTCACTGCTGCGCACTCTGTTCTTCAGATAGGAAAAAGGAATGCTGACAAATGAGATGCTTTGGGTGAGATTCACTGCACCACTTCAGCCACCTAGCAGGCAAGCAACTTCGCTACAGTTAGGAAAACCTGGTGGAAACCAGGAAGCTCCAAACATCACTGCAGCCTAGTTTCGGGCTGCAGTCTGCTTCTAAGCCATTGTGCCCTGGAGACTAATCACTGAAATCCTTAAAAGCTTATCTCCTCCTTCTGCTCCTGTTCTCCCAACCACACACACAGACAGAAGCTGACTTTGAAGGCAACCCAAGTATCTTGAAGACAAGCTATTCAGCAGACAGCTTTGCGTATTAAGGATTCATTAAAGCATTTTAGTCCAGCTCTATTGCACAGGCTTTGTGCTCTCAGCAATACTCCAATACCTCGATATTATTATTCTTTTAATTTTAAATTAGTGCTACTTTTCAGATGGTTATAGATAAAGTTACAGTCATCGAGAGATGAGCATTTGCTCAGAGCAAGTCAACTTGAAACAGAATCAGGGCAGAACCTGGAACAAAATTCAGGTGTCTTTTGGCTATTTGGAAAGGCTTCAAGCCTTACAAGGCGTAACATAACAATATGCAAAAGGTTTAGACTACATCTGCCCACAAAGGTTGTAAAACACAAGTGAAGTCTTCCTATGTTTTCAGAACACCTGGGAAGTGATGGTATAGTATGAAGTAAAAGAAATAATATATTACTTTTGCATTTTTGTTAGCAACAATTCTGTCATAAGTCGAAACAACTTGCAGTTTTACAATGTAAGAGACAGAGTTAATCCCAATTCTTTCCATACAAAAGCACAGAAACATATCAGCAACTGGAAGGACAGCCAAAATATTCTGCTGAGTCTAAAAGCCGCCTTTGGTGGGCGGAATACAAGACACAATCCCAAGACAGCAGACGCTGCTGAGCAGCAGAAGTAGAAACCAGTGAAGAGACCTGTGCAGTGCCAGCGGCATCACGGAGCCACACTGCTGGCCACGTTTCCACGGAGCGAGCTGCCTTGCACTCAGGCAGCCCCTCCAGCTGCTGCTGGAGCTGCCCAGGCCCACGGCCTTCAGAGCCACACACAGACCCCACAATGCCTTAGAAGAAACGCACAGGCATTGCGGCGCTAGCTCAATGTGCAGGTGAAGAACATAGGTTTTGTGAGAGCAAGTACGAAGTCACGATGCTGCAGGCTCGCTGAGTTCAGAGCCAGCCTCCAGCCCACACCCGGTCCTCACCCCAGTGGGGCAGCAGGACCAGCTCTCCCCAAACACTGGCGCCACAGCACCACTCACTCCTTCCCCTTCCCCATGCTGCCAGGGCTTTTAGCCCAGTGAATATCAGCTGCCTTCTGGTCCTGTGTCTGGTTTTCCTCCTGGTACCTAAAGGAGGACGACTGCCCGTGGCCTTCCAACAGCTCCTCACAACAAATGCATGAAGCCAGCATGACAGGGGCTTCTCTGGCTTGGTGCCCTGAACTAACACCTTGCATTCATTATTTTTTACAGCAGAAGCACTGCCGTGTTACTAGGAGCTTCCCTCTGCCTATACCTGTACACGTGTAACAGAGCAGGGCCTTCACGCTGGGTCAGGGCCTCCAGGCCAGCCGACAAAATCTCTCACTGTATATTATATACAGCCAGCTACTGGGAAGAGTCAGAAAATCAGCTTGAGCATGCTCAGGGAGCCACACTGCGATGTGGAGTACCATAAAATGGAGCTATAAGGCTACACACCTACTTGGAAATTAATTTCACTTGGGAAAGCCCAATTTCTTGTTTCTCCTTCAATATCAGTCTCTATCCCACGAACAGCAAAGAAGCAAGAGCATTACTGGGCATAACTTACCTTTTCCATCCTCATTTTCAGACCAGATAAATAGCTGAGAGTTACAATGTGGGAACCATGTCTATAACAGTTTCTGAGCATGCCATGAAGGGCAGCATAGCACATCTGACAGCCTGAAAACGGTATGTGGGGAAGGGCCACTGATGCACTAGTAACGGAGGGAAAGAGAAAGAAACTAGCCCTGCAGACAAATAGGGAAAGGTATGGTAAGAACAGCACTTACCAAAAAAAGCATTCGTATTCTCACAGGAATGTGGTACATTTTCCTATGCAGTGTTTTAAGCACCAGACAAATATTTCAGCCCATTCACTAGAGGTAGTGCCATCTTGTCATCTAATATCAAATACGAGTGGAGATT